GTGACAGAACCAAAAAGCACAGTTTAAATTTTATTGAGCTTCTATAATAAGAATATTTTATCTTGCCTGTACCTATGATATTTCAGACTGTGCAAGGTAGTTGCTTTCAGATTCAGAACATTCTGTCTTCAGAAGACACACAATGTGTTGGTGCAGGGTTTGGAAATGGCATATCATGTTTTAAAGGGTTATATGTTTGACAGTGGGATGGAGTGTGCCCTCAGCAAGTTTGCCGATGACACCAAGCTGAGTGGTTCGGTTGATATGCTGGAGGGAAGGAATGCCATCCAGAGGGACCTTGACATGCTTGTGAGGTGGGCTGATGCCAACCTCATGAAGATTAACCATGACAAGTGCAAGGTCCTACACCTGGGTCGGGGCAATCCCAGGCACAGCTACAGGTTGGGCAGAGAAGAGATTCAGAGCAGCCCTGCAGAGAAGGACTTGGGGTGTTGGTCAATGAGAAACTTAACATTAACCAACTGCAGTGTGCGCTTGCAGCCCAGAAAGCCAACCGTATCCTGGGCTGCATCAAAAGGAGCGTGACCAGCAGGTCGAAGGAGGTGATCCTGCCGCTCTACTCTGCTCTCATGAGACCTCACTTGGAGTGTTGTGTGCAGCTCTGGTGTCCTCAACATAACAAGGACATGGAACTGTTGGAACAAGTCCAGAGGAGGGCCACAAAGATGATCAGGGGACTGGAGCACCTCCCGTATGAAGACAGGCTGAGAAAGTTGGGGCTGTTCAGCCTGGAGAAGGCTGCATGGAGACCCACAGCAGCCCTTCCAGTGTCTGAAAGGGGCCTACAAGGATGCTGGAGAGGGACTCTTTACTATGGACTATAGTGATAGGACAAGGGGTAATGGGTTAAAACTTAAACCGGGGAAGTTTAGATTGGATATAAGGAAGAAATTCTTTACTGTAAGGGTGGTGAGGCACTGGAATGGGTTGCCCAGGGAGGTTGAGAATGCTCCATCCCTGGCAGTGTTTAAGGCCGGGTTGGGCAGAACCTTGGGTGACATGGTTTAGTGTGAGGTGTCTCTGCCCATGTCAGGGGGCTTGGAACTTGATGATCTTAAGGTCCTTTCCAACCCTAACTATTCTGTGATTCTATGATATCCTACTGGATAGTTTATAAAATATTTTGTAATGTATAGACTTAGTTAAGTGAAAAAAACTTAACTTTGATGTAGCCATCCACTTTTGCAGGAGAATGGATTAATTTCGGTCTTTAGTTGTTACACTTGTTAGGGACAGTAAAGGAACATTTCTTTGAATAAATAAATCTTGAACATCTCAAGTGCTATTGTTACTAAAGCAGGAACACATGACATCGGAACTCAGGAAAAGGACAAGAGAAAGTACCTTTATAGCAGTAATATGGCCTGGCTTGGAACCTGTTCTAGATGCCCACAGGGATGAGACTGTCCTGAAAGAGGCATGAAATATTCCTAATTCCCAAGAGGTGCCCAATCCATAAGCATGTTTCACAGCTATGTAGCTTGCACACTTACCACAGATTTAAAGCATGGTCATCACAGCTGCTTTATTCCAAACATAGCAAAAATGGATAAGAGACAGTATCCATGTTAAGCACACTGTTCTTTGCTGACATAATTTGTCTTGAGCTGGTTACCTCCTGACCCTACTTCAGATTGCCAGCAAGCTACGATATAAAGGGAAGTGTGAAAAAGGTATTACTTTGCTGCACAATAATTTTGTGGAGATGAAGGAAGGGATAAGAAAGTGGAGGAATTGGTCAGAAAAGGTGGTGGGTTGCAGAGGCAGTTTGATTTTGATGGATCACATGGAAAAATTTGCTGGAATCTAAATACCTCTTTTTAAATCACTTTTGCATGACCCATCAGTCGAAGGTGTTGTCACTTCTATGGACTCAACTTGGAGACATTCATAAAGGATTTGTTGTCTGTTTTCAACTGAGAAGTACATTTTGTCTGCTTGATTAAATCTTGAAATTACCCTTTTTATTTCAGCTGACAATTTACTGTCTTTGAACCTGTCTTAAAATTTCTTAGATTAGTTCAGTGCTATAAAAGTGGTATTGTATTATAGTAGCAGCTTATAAGCAAGTTATGAAAATCATTTGCTGAAAGAGATCAGTTGTCAGTATCGGTATTGCCTTTTCACTATGATACTAGAACTGCTGTCAATCTTTGGTTCTATTTTTGGGAATTCCCTCCCTCCTTTTGAATATTTCAGTCACTGTTGAGCATGTTGCTTTTGTTTACCAATGCAAGAATCTGCTTTACAACCAGATGATGACACCGTCTGAAGCAACTGAGTTTCCACCTGTCCATGCTGGCTTCCAAGTTGATTGGCACATGAACTGCTCATTTATTTTTAGTTTTTTTCATGCGCTGATAACACATAAGTAGAGACAGTGAGTTGGAAGGAAACTTGTAACTCCGTGGAGCAGCTAGTGTTATAACTGCTAAACACGTAACTTCTCTTTAACCAAGGTGAAAGCCCTAGTCTTTTTTGTGATAATTTAAGATACGCTAAAATAAAATTATCATTGGGATTTTGGTGCATTCACCTTCTTTTATTTGGTGCAGAACAACTTCAGTTGATTTCAGAGGGATTTGGAAGTGCTCAGCACTTCAGAAAATCAGGGCACATATATCTGGGTGCCTAAATAAAGGTTCTGAGCCTCCTTGTAGACACAGCAAATAGGTGTGAGTCTTAGTATGCCTCCACACCAGTGATTAGATCAATGATTATGATGAGAGCTTAGTATAAATGCACAAGATGCTGAATGGAACTTAATCAGAAGAAGCTGATGTCTAATGAAACGAAGACTTAATTCCAGTTTAAGTGGAGCATGTGTGCATTTAGTGAGACAAGGTTCATTTTACATAACAGTGCCACTGGCTGTCAGCATCCTCATCTGTATTTGACATTTGCATGTGGAATATGCTGCTTAAAATTTCCTAAGCTTATGTGGGTAATCTTTTCAAAGGTGTGTAACTGAGTTGTAAGCAGGCAGGGTTAGGGTGGTGCTGTGATACTGAACTGTTCAGGGTACAACACTGCAGCAGTGAGCGAAAGCCAGATCACCTGCTTCAAGGGCTGTGTGCAATCCTGATTAAATGGTCAGTGAAAATTGGCATGATACTCTCCATAATGGGTAGTGGTTTTTGTCATAGCTGTCAGTGGGCCAGCGTTAGTGGCTGTGGATCAGGCAAGCCTCAAGGTGCGCTGATAAGCTGTGTTGTGACATCTGGAAACAGGCACTCACTGTCTGAGTAGGACAGTAGTTTTGAGTATTAGCTTGGGACCTTATTTGAGTATTTATTTTAATAAAATATCTATTTTTAGACAGTAAAATGGTTAACAGTTTCAGTAAAGTGGATTCCAGGTAGTACATGTCAGTCAGCTTCTCTGTTAGCATGAATATGACTGGAGTACCTGCACTACCTCATGAAACTGATTTTTGTGCATGCTATGATTTTGCTTTCAATCCTATTTTTGGTCACCAGATGTCTGCCAGAAGAAAGAAGATTGCAGTCTTCTCTGTCATCACCTCTCTTACTATTCTAAGCCTTGTTCTGCTCCAATTCTGACATTTTTTAAGAGTTCCACCCACAAGTGTTTTAGAGGTTTTAAATCCTGGAGTTTTTACAGCAGTTTTGACTTACCCATATTTGCTGTACTTTGCTTTGCACTGGCATAGCAGACACCTGTGCTAGAACTGGAGTTTAGAATTGCTGTCTTTTAGTCCAAGTTTTATTTATGAGCAATAACTGCAGGAAACGTCCTGCCTGTGGGTGACTGGGACCTGCTTTCTGTGTTGTGCTCCTCAGCAGAGCCAGCTGGTAGGCAGCAGCAGTGGTAGAAGGGTGACTTCAGAGCACATCAGTGACAGGTAACTTTACACATACTCAGGAAGGCAGATTTCAGTTTCTGTGATGACTTTTTGTCAAAACGCTTTAAACACTTCATCTTCCACTGTAACACTTTTAGCAGACAATCCCATCATATTTTTATGTACAAGTTTTTGGGTTTTTTTTTTTCTTTACCTTTACACTTGTAAAAAGTTAAAATAATGCAAAATCCAGGGTTTCAAGTGCACGGTATGAACAATATCAGTCATTTATTGTACTTATAGGCAGATTCACTGTTCCTTCACTTAACAAACACAACTGTATTTCACATTGCATAGAGAAAAGAGAACAAGCAGGTGAGAAATCACTGTGCATGGAGTGGTGAGAACGAGCTAGCTTAATCTTACTTTAAGTTTTTGTGGCTTTTTTTAGGAAGATCCCATCCCATACCACCAACTCCTTAACTTTCCAAGGCTCAGACTGGAGAGAACTCACAGCTTAAGGCCATTTCTTAAATGGTATTTAGTTGCCTGAGTTCACCTGAGGAATTCAAAGATTTATTAAGGTGGGAGTTCAGTGACTCTAATCTTGGAGGATCTGAACCTCATTGTTTGAGACACATTTCAGATAAAATGCATTTGCTTCTGCTTGTTACATAAGACACACAGATGAATCTGAGAAGTCGTAAACAGCTGATCTGTTAACTTGGAATTGCTTCTGAAACAGTTGTACGTGGATACAATATAGGTTTATTGGCTTTAACAGACAGCCCAGTTTCCTTTCTACACCAGTACATACCAGAAGCAAGGGCCTGGACATCATGCAGTTGTCTGGCATAGAACTGGTGTAAACTGAAAAAGGAGCCAGGCCAAAAAAAACAAAGGTTCAGGAAGACAGGGGTGTTTCCATAGTATAGTTCCCATTTAAAAAATACCTCTCGAGCATAATTAAAAGCAGAGCCCACCACATAAACTAAATTACTAAATTGGTATAAAGTCTTTTGCTTTGTTTAGTGTTTAATTTTAATACTATTATTATAGACTAGTAATTCAGTGTAAGATCCAAGGAGGCACATCATTTTTTTAAATTGTTTTGTCCTTTAAATGTTACAGAAAAAAGAATCCAGGAGATAGACAAGCTAGACGCCAACAATCATAGGATATTAAATTTAATTAGAGATTGCACAGAATATGATGTAAAAACAGCAATTTACTAGAATTATAACCTGCAAAATGTGAAAATAGTTTAGAAAATGGATTGTCATATTCTCTGACACAGCAATAGTCATGAAAGGTACACTTATAATATCATATGTTAATCTGTGTATTAGCTATACTACCTGTCATTTAGCCAGGATTCCAAGACAGATTAAAGGCATTTATTTCTGAAGTGCCTATGTTTAAATTCAGTAAAGTTAAACATTTAGATGTAAAACACTATATTTTCATCAACTACTGCATGGAGATCTATCCCAGATAAATGCTTTGTCTATATGCCATGAGTGTGAGACAAGTAATTGAAAAACTTCAGAGAGCACAGACCTGTAAGTGGGTGGTTTGACAACTGAAATACTTCTTTAGTACCTTGTTAAATTTTGGAAATCAGACATGCCAACATCTCTTTTCTGTTTCAGACCTAGATCATATTTAATCTGAATTGATGTTTTGCATCAAGCAACATTTAGTTGTAATGGGAAAAGATATCTGCAGATCTGTTATGTAGTTCAACAAGAAATGTTGCAAGTGTCAAAGGATATGATGACCACAGCAATGTCAGCAGGTTTAATTTGTTTTCCAGCCGTGTTTATGAAAGAAAAAACACAAGCAAAAACAAAAAACAAATCCAACCCTGACATATTTTAGTTTCTTTTTGACTATACAGACTGGCCCAAACATAGACATTCTCTTTATCAATCTTATTGTTACAAAAACTGTACATTACAAACAGTATAGAAACAAACTGAAAGGAATGTGCCACACATCCTGGCTAATTTTCTATATGCAGTTTAAAAATACAGCCTACTCCCTTATAGTGCACAGTTATTGTGTAGATAGAGTACATCACTAGTTAAGGGGACATGATAGAAGAGTTCTAGTTTTCTTCAGCACAGAGAATAAGAGCCAGTTCTGCTCGGTAAAGCTTTCCTCCGTCAGACAAGGCCATGATGTTTTTCTTGTACGTTGCAAGGTTGTTAATGTCTAATTCCTATTTAAAGAACAGATAATGCTTTATAATCCTGTTTAGTTACCAGTATGAACAATGCTGGTAACTGGCAGAAAATGAGAAAACAAAAGGGTATTCTCAGCCTATCCAGTAGTAACACACTGCAAATGTTATTCATGTATTTGTATGTTATCCATATTACAGCCATATGTTAGATTGCTAACAGTTAATGTCTCAGAAGCAAGCTTTGAGAGTGTTGCTAAACAATCATAACTCTCTACTAGTTCAGGATTGACACTGCTATGACTTCTGCAAAGATTTTTAGTTGTGCTTTGACTTCAGGAATTATGATTTAGCAGTTCTATATTTATCTTAATAGGGTGGATTAAAGTGTCCTTAAAACCTAAATGAAATCTAATCTCTAAGGGGAAAAAAAGCCAACTATGATTACCTTTTTATTCTTTTCACAGAGATCCTTCAGTAGTGCATCAAGTTCATTTTCATCTATATATCCATTGCCATCCTGAAAATTAACATTAATTTTATTAAATATTTACTTTTCATTTGAAGATTATGGTTAGTTTTCCACAAATTCAGAAAACAAGTGCCTTCAAACTATGCAACTAATAAAAAGGTTTTCTGAAGACTTACTTGGTCATACATCTCAAAGGCTTTATTGAATTCTTTTGCAGACATTTTGACACCCTATATGCCAAAAGGAAAACAAATGAATTAATGACACCAGTTATGTGTGATGGTAATAAGTTACCTTAAGAATGAGAATATTCGTACCTGAAATTTAATAAGAAAATTTTCCTGTACAGGGAGTAGTCTTTGGAGAGAAAAAAACAAAGGTCAAAATATTTAGCTGCTTCCATAACAACAATGGTACATGGTATTTGTTGTGGAAAAGACCGAAGGCATACCTGGCCAGTTCAGTAAGCTCCAACTTTCCATCATTGTTTGCATCAAACATCCTGAGCTGAAAGAATGTATAGTTTTACGTTAATAACCAGAATAAATCAATATAATGAAAAAAACACTTTTTGGAAAACTTCAACAAAATTTAGCCTTTATTTCATGCTGAAATGCTAGCCCCAGGTTTTAATCTGTCGCATTTGCTGTGTGACACATTTATTTAAAATACTAAGTAATTTTAGTAATTAATTCTACTGCAAAAGCCTAAGAAGAATCTAGATGAACAATTGTGATTAACCTACAAGGTAGGTCTTAATCTGCCTACAAAGGTGAATGAATCCATATGAGAAATGCACATGTAATTGTTTATAAATGAATGTTGACATGATAACATTTTACTTTTGAATTCATGTCAGGATTTGATAATAGCTTCATTGTTCCCTATTCATAAAGGTGAAACAACAGTTGGGTAAAGTTCAATTGAATCCAAACCATTCAATTCCTTAGACAGAAAGTCATAGATTTTTCGTTCAATTGGCTGCAAGATCTAAATATTTAAGTAAAGAACATGTTCTGTTTCTGTGATATATTTCAAGAAAAGCATGAGCAGATGCTGTAGATAACATTTTGTTAAGGGTATGAAAATGGGATATTAAATCTCTCCAAATAATTATAATTAAATTATAGGAATGAATATATTCTTTGACAAAATAAGTGAATATTATTTCTAATGATTTTAATAACTGTATTGTATTAAAGTGTTTTCCTTTGAAGCCTTGAAATGATGAGCTCCTGCTGCTTGAGAGGCACAGCTTATATTCATTATTAGAAGTACATGGAGATATTGCACCTGCGTAGGAAGTCCTCTCTAGTTTTTATGTCTATATAGCTCCATTTTTCTACTTTCAAGTATTATTTTGTCTTTGCAGTATAAAAGAGTCACAAAAGCAGCAAACCATACAAAACATTTTTAGACATTGTACTGAAAACACCACCACCCACACTCCATCCCATCACTTTCAATCACAGTAATTTTAGATGTAATTTTTAGATAAGAGGAAAAGCGACATCCTGTACTTAGATAAGTGTATATCCTTTTAAAGATAGAATTAATGCCATGAAAAAAAAGACCTAATTCCACTGGGTTAATGCACAATGAATGGCAAAGAAGAACAGAAAAGAGACCAATTCTATAAACATTTATTTCTACATAACACCCTGGTTCCTTTTAACATTTCCTTTCCTTGTATAAAAGCATCTGTCTTTCATGCATTTCCCATGAAAAGAGATTTGCATTTGGGGGAGGTGAGCAGTGGCAGCTGTGAAGTAAACATATTTTGGATTTTGATGGGTTGTTAGTGGCTGGCTGTGCCTGCCTGCAGCTGCTCAGGACTGTATGTTTTCTATTAGTTTTCTAGATTCTGAGGAGATTATGGGATAGCTGGAGAGGGACTTTTTTATAACAGAAAGTACTGATAGGACAGGGGGAATGGCTTTAAACCAGCAGAGGATAGATTTAGACATTAGGAAAAAGTTCTTTACTGTGAGGGTGCTGAGGCACTGGCACAGGTTGCCCAGAGAAGCTGTGGCTGCCCCGTCCCTGGCAGTGTCCAAGGCCAGGTTGGGTGGAGCTTTGAGCAACCTGGTCCTAGTGTGAGGCATCTCTGCCCATGGCAGGGGGTTGGAACTAGATGAGCTTTAAGGTCCCTTCCAGCTCAACCCATTCTGTGATTCTACGATTCTGACAAGTACAGTTTTTCTCCTATGAACTGTGAAATTTCAGTTTTACAACTAATGGCACAGGGAAGCAGGACAGGGGAAGATGCTATAGTATGGACCAGTATCAAATAAATAACATGAAAATTCAAAAATCTTTTTTTTGGGGGGCGGGGGTGGTGGTGTTTGGTTTTTTTTCCTTTTTGTTTTGTTTTGTTTTGTTTTTTAAGCAGCCCTGAAAGCTGTCCATCAAAGCTCTGTAGCTACAGAAGTACTTGTGCTGGATGCCACAGTCATCTCTCTGTTGCAGCGACATAGCCTGATTAGGACCTGGTGGGGCTCCAAATCGTTTGGAGCTTTCCAGTGACTAAAGATAAATAGAGTTTGGATTAATCCAGTCTTGATGCAATATGCCTGAAAATAATCTTACCATTATTTCTGTGTATTCTGTTAGCTTTGAGTCTTCGATCTGCTTATTTGCTTTCTGTAATAAATCTTTCAAGAAGCTCTGTTAAAATAAATAGAAGCATAATAGGTGAATTTTTAACTACACTATAAAATGCTTGACTTGCTATCTTCAGAGTAAAGTAATGGAAAATACTATTTTATTCCCACTTTACTATTTACTGCTGAAGTTCCAAGTAAGTATGAAAAGAAGTTGTAATTAGCAGCTAAGAATATAACAGTTTCTTTTGATCAATTCAAGTATACTGTGGTTTTATTTGGAAAAAGTGACTCATAAAACTTTCTGCGTTGTATGCCATTTGTTATATTGTGAATTTGGAAAAAATAGTTTGTCTTTCAAGTATATTGCTTCCTAATCAGCACTATCAGTAAACTAAACTAATTAACCTTGTGTCTCCTTGAAGACTTGGATGCCCAATCACTTCTTGCAACATAGGAACAATTTTACAGAAAAGATCAATGATTAATCAAGTTTTCTCCTTGCCTATGGCAGTGCCTGATGCTAGACATGAACATTAACCTGTGTTGCCTCTTCCTACCTTATATTTTAAATGTGTGCAGCCAGTTCATTGCATTTTTTGAATGAGAATTTGACATAGTAACTAACACTTGACTGGAAACACCAGCCATTTTTTACTTTGAAAGATAAGAATGTTTCCACCCATTCAGTGATTTACATTCTGGTACTAGATTGTGGCATTAAAAGAGAAAGATATCAATTTATTTAACAAGGATATTTCAAGAACTGAGATGTCTGTATGTCTGTCAATGTGCAACGAAGTACCTAAGTACGTCATCATTTGGAGTGTCATTATCTTTGTGGAATTTTGAGCCACACTGCAAGATAGAAAATGGGGTAGCTGGTAAGAAAATCTGTTTGTGCATAGATGACATTCTTGAACTTGAATGCATCCATATCAATAGCCACAGGACTATAACCACTATAGTTCTTGTTGTCTGGCTCCCTCTGTGCTGGGGGGCCTTCCTCGTAGCTTGCACACAAAGAAAATAACTGAAATGTTGTAAATGGATGTTATGGGGATACGTTTAATCTTGCGTGCTTTGATGGGAAATAGAACTGGAAGGGACATTGAAAGGCTATCCAATACATCTCCTTGTCTCAAGAAAGGATCATCTATATCTAAACTTCCTGACTTACTGTCCTAAGTAACCTATCCTAAATAGAGGCAGTCATGGAGAGTCTGCCTCCCCCTTAGACAAGGTATTCCACTGCCCTTACTATTGTTAGAATGTTTTCCTGATTTCCAGCTTAAATTTCTCTTACAAAGTTGTAAGTGGGTGTACTCCTCACATAGCAAATACTTAGAGTGTTTGGGCTTGTCGAGAAATACTGATCTAAAAATAAAACTGGACATTATATCTTTCAACATGTTAAAATGGCCTGTTTCTTTGAAGCAGACAGCTTCTCACAGGAGAAGAGAGGTGGGGCCATCAGGAATCCAGTTAAAATGCTTTCATTCTTCAGCTGGTCCTCAATCAGCCCTGCTTTTTAAGTTTATTTTAAATTATAGCAAATGGCAACAGTCCTGAAAGCATTGTGTAACAGCTGGAGATTTTCTCAAGTGCTACACTGCCTCCTTCTGATCCTACCACTTTAGATACACTGACCTGCTGCGACCAGCCAGAAGAAGAATAGGCTTGTCTGCCTGAGGGTTACCTTAAGGTAGAATCCTTGGCAAACATCACACAGAGAGCAGACTCAAAGAGGAAGGGAAAAGGAAAAAAGATGTGAACTGTCTGATGTGGATTCTTCTGAACAAAAGAGCTGTGAGGATTTCAGACAGTTTGATCTCCTGGTGCTTTAATTAATAAGGCTTATGTAGTTCTTTAGAATACCACTATGGCCAAAATTGCCCAAATTAGATAGATAAACACTGCTGGGTCTTTCTCTTGCTATGAATTGTTTTTGTTCTTCTGAATTAAATTCAGAAACCACTACAGTACTGTATCCAGAGCAACTGAACTGTGGAAAAATGGCACCTTTCTACTTAGAGGTTGCTGTATATGAGCATTTTTCTTATGAGGAAAAGCTGAGAAAGCTGGCACTGTTCAGCCTGGATAAGAGAAAGCTCAGGGGGACTTAACATATATAGATACTTCAACGGAGGGTGCAAGGAGGACAGGGCCAGGCTGTGGACCAGTGACAGGACTAAAGGCAATGGACATCAACCGAAACACAAGAGATTCCTTCAGGAAGCACTTTTTCGCTGTGAGGGTGGCTGAGCACTAGCATGGGTTGCTCAGAAAGGTTATGGAACCTTCATCTTTGGAGATATTCAAGAGCCATCTGGACATGGTCCTGGGCAGCTGGCTGTAGGTGGACCTGCTTCAGCAGGGGTCTTGGTCCAGATGACCTCAAGGTCCCTGCTAGCCACTTTGTGATTCTGTGACTGTGGTTCAGCATCTACAAATCAATGCTAGTTTTATGATTAGGGAGGTAAATCACTCTAGTTTTAAGGTTTGTTAACTCTGCAGTGCTGAGATGGCTAATGGAATAATCTCAGCTCTGCTCTTATTTGTGCCTATTAAAGCTCATACAAAAAAATCCCCAAAAGTTAATCAAGGAGCGGCAATAGAATTCCATTTGTGTTAGCCTAACAGTATTAAAGTGTAAATTATAGGGCTACATGATATTTGAGAGATCATGAGGCCAGTGATGCCCTTAGGAAAAAAACCCAACAAAACAGCCCTCCTCCCTAATATACCAAGAAAAGGACAACACAACCCTCCTAGAGTCTTATCTTGCTTCCTCAGTATTTCTTACTTGCAAGCTACCTGCTACCCTGAGTCACTTGAGACAAACACTGATCTGAACTAAAATATGTTTTAAAGAACATTAATCAGATTAGAGTTTCCCTTTAATTTACTGGCAGTAAAACCATCAGCTAATCATACTGTTTTTCGGTCTTGTTTGAAATGCAAAAGCATGCACAGGTGGATAGCTGAAGAAACAAATAGCAGCACAGGCTGTAATCCAATGCCTGTTCTCATGTTGTGCATAGTTACAGATACCAGTTTACCTTAAGTTCCTCAGAATCAATGAAGCCACTGTGGTCACTGTCATATTTTCTCCATGTCTGCAATCAGAAAGTGAATGCTTTAATGACATATTTATGGCAAGTGGGTCCTGGATGATTTTACAAAAGGTAACTTTTCATACTGTACCTGCATGAAGTCTTCACTTGACTTTAGCTGCTGGCATCTGAAGAACAACAGAAAATTCTCTTCTGTTGGTAATATCTGAGCAAGCTATAAAAGAATTTAAGAAAGATTAAATTTGGATTCTTCTTTAGGCAGCTGAGCATCTGAAAGAGCATGAAACTCTTAAAAAGAATATGAAATTCTCTTTAAGCTTATGGCCCTATTGTAGGCCTATAGGAAGCGTCATCCTGCTAGCTGGAATGTTTGGAAGATGCTTCTAAAAACTTCTGGCTTTCAGCTTTGCCATATACATAAGATCAAACAGAAATAAGGTCTAAAAGAGTGAGACAGCACATACTAAAGGGGCACCTGGGGAAAGAAGGAAAAAATACACCCATGCAGAGTTAGGACCTGTGATGAAAAGCTTGGAATTGGCATGAAGGGAAAACATAACACAAAGATGTTTAGTTGGTAAGTGCGAAGGTCCATGAATTCAGAAAGTGAGGAAAATAGACTACTCACAGATATTGTGTCAGAGGTGGAAGAGAGAGGAAAGCTGACATGAAGAACACATGTGTAAGGTAAAAAGAAAAATGTATGGGAAAGTCAGCAGACTGAAAAAGCAAGCGGGCACTGTATGAGGATGGCAACAGGTCATCATTTGTCAGGCACAGAGACGTGTTCAAGAAGAGCTATAAATACCAGAAAGAAATCAAAAGGGCTTTTAGCCCTGCAAAATCGGGGGTGGTTCTTCCAATGCCTCTGCTCTACAAAAGGCTTTTTTAAAATCAGACATTATTGTACTGATTATTGAAAATGTTCATTTACCATATAACTCAACTTTGGCAAGGGACAAATGTACAAGATGGAGAGTATGCTGTATAATTTAATGTAAAATCATGATTTGTTTTTAACAAAAGCCCAATATCTTTTTCTATTCCCAAAATGTATGAAATTTGTTTTGATTAAGGAAAACTTTTTAGTTGAAGAACAGACCAGCTGTGCTTACTAGGAAAAGAATATCGAGAAAAAAAGATTCCTTAGCTGCATTCTTTTATGAAAAATGACATCTGCAGACTTTCTGGAGCCCCATTTTAAATTTTTTTGTCAGATTTTTTATTTTCTGCCTTTATTTCACACGCACAAATCCCTCATTCTGTCTATTTCCGTGATACTGCCTACTTGCTCTGGCTCTTTTATTGGAGTCCAGTAAGTGAATTCAGGTCTCCCTCTCACCCTACAGGTATAGAAAAGTTATGGAGACAGAGGTCGTTTCTCTAAAATTATCTATGCAAGGAATCAATTATACTTTTTAAGTGTGGTTATGACTGAAAAGACAAATCAGAGCATTCTCCTTACAGACATGGTACATCTGATGGCAGACTGTCAGGCTCATCAGAGGATTCTGAGGGATTTCACTAAATGGCTGAACACCAAACGCAATCAACTTAATGTGGTTTTGTCAGCAACTCCATTATCAATAGTATGTACACATGTCATTAAGTACATGCCAACCCTAACCATTCTATGATTCTATGTTCATATGTACACAACAGCTAAATGTGCGTAACTTAGTACAGATTCATGGAAAAAAATATTTATCCCATGACAGGGAAGCTTTGATTTTTAGAGTACATCCCTACTCAACATAAAATGTTTTTGATGGAAGAACTGGTTATGATAATAAGAAGAGTTTGGGGGAAGAGACTGATCATGACAATGGGAAAGGGTGTACATTCATGGGAATTGTACATTAGATGTCATTTGTGGGATGTCTGTAGCTAGCTGGTAAGTTTTGCAAAAGGCACTGTAAGATAGTACAAAGTGCAAGGATAAATGTAAATTACTGACTTTCCAAAGAATCATTAACAGTTTACTAGAAGTACCAAGCTGTATTTAAAGTACAGGATATATTACCTCTGGAAGAAAATTATCTTATTTTAAGCTATACCTCTGACCCCTTGTAAGTCTCAGGGGAAAGAACAAGCTTTCAAGTTACAAAGATGTAGTAGCTCAATATCCAGTATCAGCTCAGGCTTCTGCCAAAAAATAAAAAGTCTTTCATGTTTTCTTTCTTTTGTGCCCTTTAGAGTAATAGAAACAATATAGCTAAAGGGAAGTCCAGTTCTCCAAGCTCATGCATCAAATAGCATTAAATTGCCTTCTGTGGAAAACTGCGTTATGAAGGGATGAGGACATTGTGTGAAAACTGGCTCAACTTCCCAGTCCCAGTTATACCACCTCAAAGAGGAAAGATAGAAACCTGGTGCTATTTCTAGTGATGACTTCTTTGTGAGGGTAATCATAGGGGACTTTGAGGGCGTTTGAGTAAGAGTGAGGACTGCTACATGTTTGTGTACGGCAGCAACAGCAGTTTAGTGATTGCTTCTGTAAGCTCTGCTGTTTTTATGGAGAAAAAATATTCTTAGCTCTACAACACTATCAGAACTATTTTCTGGAAATCATTCTTAAAGTAAATTCTGTTGACATTTAACTATTTAAAATTCCTTTCACCTAATACAGTGAGTTTGCCTTTTAAAATCCTATAATAAAGAATGGGAGCAAAAAGAATATTTTAGGCTAATACATGGCTATTTTTACAGGAACAGTAAGCTTCAAATAATTTGAATGTGGAATTACTGCAGTCCTGAGTTTTGAAACCTTGGGTTTCACATCTAAATTTTAGTGAAAGCTTTGGTCGGAATATGTACAAAAGGTGAATTACACAACGACAAGCAAGTGGTCAGGTCAGACTGTCTTTAGCTGGAGGGCACTGGATAAAAGCTAGTAAGATAACTGCAGTGTGCTTGCAAAGCCAGAATCAACACTTAGTCTGAGCTGAAAATCCACTCTTTCCTCTGTGAAGCCACCCTAACCCTCCTCTTTATCTCAGTCAACAGACCTTTCCTGAAAAATCATTATTTGCTAGGACATCTTCCTTCAGATGCTGGGGTATTCATTATAATGGCTGAGAGTCTGAGCTGCTTTACTTTCTTTTTTTAAAACAAAATTCATACACTTTTTCATAAAAGCTACTTGACGTACTATGTAAATGGGAGCAATGTGGAATTCCTGGACATTTTTATTTGTAAGGAAAGAGAATCAAGTCCAAATAAATACTAACTTTAATATCATCTTCTCTGCATGTACAACAAATTTCATCTGAGTCCCATCAGCACTTTCCAAATCAAGCTTCATGCTGATGTAAGAGAAATAAAAAACAGCTAGTGGGTTAGGAATCTGCTATATTAAGGGAGAAAGTCCCTTCAGTCTCTAAACTGAGTACTGTCAATGCTCAGTGATGTCCGTAATGCTGATCATGCTTGGCACTTCACTGGGGGTGGTGAGCACCATGCCATATCAGCCTTATTGGATTTGCTCACCTTTAAGTCAACATTAGTCAACAGCACTGTCAGAAATAGAATTTGAAAGGTAAAACTTTCAGTTATATTTCCTGAGCAAAGAAACACAATCTTTTTCAGGCACTGTCTACGCATTCTTCTTACATCCAGTGCTTGTTATTACACATACTCAAAAATACTAAATGAAATAGGATTCTTGAATACCAAATCAATAAGCATTTGTTAGTCCAAACCCAAGCACTTTGTTACTCAAATAAACACTGGTTATTTTTAGATGTAGAACTATTTGATCAATGCTAAGTATTGTCAAAAGATGCATTTTTAAAAATAAAGTATAACTGCGAGTGAAACAAACTGTTCATATTTCCATAGCAGTTTAGTTATAGTTACGCATGCATTTAAACAAGTATATGTAATTCAGATACATGGCAGAGGAGAAAAGATACCCTGAAAGTATCTATTATATCAGCAGTGATAACTTCCTATTGACTTTTGCAGATTTTATTCAGTCCTTTGTTTTAAAATTAGCTACTGACCCCAAGTTGGTCACTGTAGAAATTCTGCAGACCTGGCTTGTTTCCAGCTGTTTCTTAATTAGCTCTCTAGGTCAGATTTCTTATTAGCAGGAAAAAAAATAATACCACTTAATAATAAAACCGCAGTCTCACTGCACTCAGTGACATAAATGAGTTGTAGATTTAGGCTTGAAAAAGTGACTTCTCAAGCTGTAACCCAGCAAACTGTCCCTTTTGACTTGCACCACTGAAGAGTGAAAGCGAGAGAAAACACAACAGTCCCCCCTGCCTATCAAGTTGTGTAAGTTCTACAATTTTTGAGCAGCTGTATGTTCAGAAAGTGTTGGTTATCTTTGCCCTCTTTAGAAAGTGGGAGTAAGGAATAATGGAATTTTCTGCCTTAAGTTCTGTTAAAGTTCAAGAAAGGAATTCATAAGAAATCCTGATCTTTTACAAGATGGGTGACAGCTACTATTCAAATTTTGTTTACACTTAACATGATTAACTTATGCTCTCTTACCGTATACGTATTTTCTTTTAGAATAGACTACATACAGTGATGGTCCAAGTACATTCACTTGTGTGTTATCCTTACTACAGGAGTGGTGACAGAACATTAGTTCAAAATCATAGGTACAAACAAATCATATCGCCATTCACAATTTAAATTTCTAAGATAGAGCTCTTACTGCTTTGCAGGAAAACTAAATTGCTGTTGATGCTTACTTCTACTGAGCAAAGAGTGCGAAGTTAAATGAAGTGTAGTGAAATGTTTGGAGAGGACTAGGGAATACCTCACCTTTTGCTAATGAAAATTTTCATTAGTGAAAAAAATGCTAAAGACCTTAAGGCAGAGAGGTCTGTGTAACTAAAAATCCAAAATATTTACATATTATGCTCACATTGTTCTGTGCTAAATGTATTTTCTGCAAGTAAACTTGTCAGTCTGTTGTTATAAAATAACTCTTACCTCAACTATTCCTATTTTTCCATCAGTAGCCTTCCCATATTGGTCCACAAAAGCTTTCATTTCGGGTGTTAAATCCTAAAAAGTTACAATAAGAGAATCATTACTTTAAGATACAAAGAAACATATGTAAACTTACTTGAATATTCTATTCATTTACAAATAATATGCTACATTTAGTGAAGTACTCACACTTTTAGCAGCTAGATTATTCAAATTTAAATGAAATTGAGTAATTTTTAGTCATGAATAATGTCATTGTGATAGATTTTACTTCCTAAGGTATTATAGTCAGTGTGAATGATTGGCATCTAAATACTTAGAACTCCTCTTTTAGTTTACAGTATGAAAAGTTTATAAAGATGTGATGGAAATGTGTATAACAGCTCTTTTGTTTAAGAGGATGACAGTGAAGTTCATAGCCAATTATTAGTCAATTTTCTCAGTTTTCATTTTTAAATTAGCAACTTGAAGGCAGTGCAAAATCTTTCAAAATAAGGAACATTTCAGTATAATGTATCTGAACACCAAAATAGCCTTCCCACATCTTTGAGTAGATTTTTCCTGAACAATGGATGCTATTTTATCCTGGAAGAACTCATCACGATATATTTTTCACTGTTTAGTGTTTGGTTAGCACAGAAACAGAGTCAAAATGTCACTGCTGAGAAGTAGAGAGGCAGATTTAGAAGGGAGAAAACCTTGAACAGTACCTTAAATCCAACAGAGTAAAGTTGGAATAATTGTTCTTCATATAAATTACGGTCCCTGCTATATATCTGTTCTCTAAAGGCTATCCTTGCTCTAGGCTATGGCAGAGGTGCCAGCCTTGGGGTGAAGATCTAAATATTTGATTTCATGCTTCAGCTTGGCATGATTTGCATTAACGTGAGCCGCCATCAGACTTCAATACTAGCAAAACTCTTAACTCTGTATTTCTTATAGGTGTGAGCTAGTAAAACCATGCAGCAACAATCAGGACTACAGATACATTAAAACAATGGGGAATTTTATGGTTATAGATGAAGATGCAGAAGTCTTTGGAAATTAAAATTTTAGTTGCTATAATACATCTGATTATACAGGACCAAAGTGATTCTCTCACTGGAAACACAGGGAATCTCAGCTGTACAAAGCCCGTTGTAGTTTGTCCCAGATTTCAACTACCAAAGCTAAGTAAAATGTCAGTTCCTTGTGGCTGATACAGTCATGGCCTAGTATCCTATTTCTGTCAAAGTCATCCATGGCAGGATACTAATTTGCCATGGCTTTAATTAGAGATATGGTTATTAATACAATGCACTTCAATGTCACCTTTCATCTAATGATCCCAAAGTGGGGACAAGTTTGCTTAGCAGGTAGAATGGAGAACTCAGACACCTGGATTTTAGTTAGTACTGGTTAAATATTTTACTAATCTTTCTAGCAGCAGTTCCACAGTGTCAGCGTCCAGCCATTGAAGGAGGCACAGCACAGGTGAAACAAAACACGATGCTCATCCTCTAGTACATTAAGACTACCTTCAGAAAGGTGGTATTTTTATTTTTGGTGTTCACTTCACCTGCTTTTGGGGTTTTTGATGGCTTATTTGAATTATGATATTCAAATAAATTTTTTCAGTCTAAAAGTTTGCCTAAATTTAACCAAGCCTGGTCCTAAACTAGGTACAGATGCAGTGCTCAGTGTTTGAAATTAAGAAATTAGCCCTTCATAATTCAATCTCCCCCTTTAAAACTGAAGAGATACTTATCCAACCAAGTGGAGCTTTAGAAAAAAATGGCTTTTTTCAACATGATTTGCAAATGTAAGGACAGATCGCACTACAGAAACATTTACGTGACTATATTCATAAACATCTATTAGATCACACATTTCTGTTGAGAAATTTTGCTATCATCTATATATGCAGAGAAAGTAAGAAACAGATGTGAAATAGCTCAGCCAAAATACACCTATTGACTCTTTATCAACCTCTGTGTTAGTCACTTATACCCCCCAGTTTATTTGGCAATTGGCATACCTAAATAGAGAACATATTGTGTAAATGTGGGGCACAATAAATGGAAGCTATACTTACATACTTATATAGCTTTTATCTTTAAAAAAGAGGAAGTTCTTTCAACATGTCAGAAATTAGATCAGATCAATTCACTATCTACCATAATGCATGAAGCAAAAAGACATAGTGTTACCTAAGAAAAGCCCAAGCCCTAAAACCTCCAAGTACACATCCACCCCTTGGAATCAGAATGAATCAGGTTGCATGCTACTGGTCTGTCTGAGAAAAATCATCTGTGAAAGTATGGGCTTACTAAGTGGGTTAATAAAAGGATTAGCATTAGGACATAATTAGAACAATTCCGTATTTGGGAAGAATACTCGGAAATCTTAAACCATTCTATTCAGTGACAAAATCAATGAGATTCATTAATGCACATGGCATGACTGATACAAAATCCAGCTATGAAGAATGCATAATTGAATATTTCAAAAATAGTGAGCAGGAAAGTGACCTGAAATGCAGAAGTTAATGATGACAAAGAAGCTTTGGGCTGTTAAAAGAAGGACAGCTGAGGAAATGACATATAACCTACACTAGTTACTCAGTGTGTCCCTTCTGGCAAAATAATAGAAATACAAAGGTACTGAAAGAGTACCCTGTGAGAAAAGACACAAACTAATGAGATGCTTTTTTGGCAAATGAACTTTCAAATCCAAGAATCAGCCTAGATTTGAAACCTAGGATGGCATATATCCAGAGCCAGCAGGCCAAGTACTGAGTTTGATGTTGCTACTCTAGATCACTCCTTTCATCAAAACACTTAAAAAACGGGTTTGAATCAGATAAATGGGAAAAGAAAACCTAATTAATCACCTGAGCATTAAAATATAGTGTGAGATACAGGCAAGGGTTATTAAAAAAAGGCATAGATTACAAAATTTGTATCAGATAAGAATAGTCCTGCAAGGCTTTTCTGTTTTACTTTGAGCCGGCACTGTTTTTAAGAAGAGATGCCCACTTGCTTTGAGAGAGAAAATAATCTGATCTTACAATGCTAAATATTTTTTTTCCTTGAACTTCTAATTAATTTTTTAACTACTGAATAATATATCAGCATTTCTACTAAGACGGCAGTCACACTAAATATGCACAGGCTTTAATGTCTTCTTTCTGCAGGACATACTCAAGTTTCTTGCACTTCAACACACTGTCGCAATACCTGAAAGGTATTGAAGTTACACTTAATCTTTACTGTGAAAATGTTTGGGTTTTTTTGTTTGTTTGTTTTTTTTCTCTAAAAACATTCCTTTGCCAATTTTCTGGGAGTTTTTTTTTTTTTTTTTTTTTTAGTTTAGTTTAAACTTACAGTCATGAAAATGAGTGCCTACACAAACAGCTTTAAGAAGAATTAACCAATAACCTAGACTGAAGTGCATTAGAGGTATTGCTGGGGGACAGGACTTCCAGCTGTGTGAAATTTGCATTCATGCAATTAACATGAAGTTACAATTTTCCACAAAATAAATTAAGGTTTATATTAATATATTTTTGCATTTACTCCTAAAACATACATCAGCTTTTAAAGCAAAGTTAATTATAGAAAAGCTATTACTCAATTTGGAGGTATCCTTACATGAAGTATTTAGCTGTTTCCTCCATGCACTCAAACCATCCAGTTAAATTATAGTTTTATTATCTGTTACTTTAGAAGTCTGTTAGCACAGGTTCATTTAAATTTATTCCATTAGGTTTTATACTGAAGTTTGATGCTAAGTGGCCTGTTTTAGAAACTGATTATTTTAAAGGCAATTTATCTGTTAAAAATGTTAACTTCTATTTTAATTCAAATCTTTACATGGAATCTTTAATTTCTTTCATTTTTTTTTCTTTCTTTATCTCAGCTTTTTCCCCATGTGGGAATAGTTTAGAGGAAATTAATAACTCATGCATTAATAAATCACACAGAGTTTTTTCAACAACATTGTCAAAAACTTTGCTGTGTCTCTGAACAATTTAACTACCAGGGTTTGGTGCTCATACTCCTGGCGTGTAACATCGATGGGGCAAAAAGTGGTTGGCAGTCATCTGCAGATCTATTTAGTGACCACCAAGGGGCAGAAATGCATTTCAGCCCATACTGCCCATTAGGTACGAAATTAGGAGTCCAATTAACTTGAAACTGTTGTTTTGTTTGGTGGGTTTTCTTTTTTTTTTTTTTTTTCCTCTTCCTCTTTCTTTTTCTAATTTTTTTTTTTTCATTTTCCCTCTCTTTTTAATATTGCTACGTATCTGGATAGGATAAGATTAATTGCCATGGGTTAAGGTCCCGTCCAAGACATAAGGGCAATTTCCTGCCTTTTCTTGTTGACCACTGTCAGAAGCAGCAGCTCGTAGCCTGGCAAGCTATAAGCAGGACCTGCTCCCCGGGGAGGTGGACTCTGGCCTCACCTTTCCAAACTAGATCATTTATTTCATTTGCAACCTGCTGATTTCTAACTGAGCTACTTCCCTGTGCCTGGTGAGGCAAGTGCGTGAACTGTGTGAGGACAACAGAGAACCGAAGGAACTGGGGTGCTTGAGTTCGCTCAAGTAAACTCTTCTTTCCCACAGAAGATGGAAAAGTGGGGCAAAACGTTAACCTACCAAGCCTGCCTTCTTCCTTGCCTGCTGCAGCTCCTGGATGAAGTTTTGTAGCTCCTTCCCATCCATGTACCCATTGCCTACAATAAGAAAGAGTTACGGCTCCCGTCACCGCTCCCTCCAAACTCTCTCCGCTCTCCAGCGCTTGCGGGGACGTCTCGGACCCGTCTGCTCCCTGCCGGCGGAGCGGCTCCCTGCCCGCTTCGACCGGCCCCGACGCCGGCCCCGAGGGCTGCGGGACGGCGATTGCGGAGCGGGAAGCGGTGTGTTCACCCCGAGCCTCCCGCGGGTCTGCCCCCCTCCGCCCCCCGCGCCCCGCGCCCCGGGGGAAGGGGTCACCGTCGGAGTCGTAGTGGTGCCAGATCTCGAAGAACTGCGCGGCCGAGATCTCCACGCCCTGCAGGTGGGTCTCTGCCGTCATGGTGGGGCGCGGGGGGCGCGGGGGGCGCGGCAGGCGCTGTCCGCGGTGCTGACTCTGCCCGCGGCCGGCGGCGGTGGCGGCTGCGGCGGCGACGATGGCTCCGACGGCTCCTCCCGCCGCCGCCCCGCCGAGGGCTATTTATGGGGCCGCCGCGGCCGGGCCACTCCCCCCGGCGTTGTCCTCCCTCCCGCCCTCCCTCACCGCGGGCCCCGGCGCGGCCTGCCCGCCCTGCCCTGCGCAGCGGGGCCGGGGTCTGCCGGCGGCGGCACCGCGGCTTGGCCCAGCCCGGCGCACCCACCCAGTGCCTGTGGCTGAGCCCCGGTGGACAGCCACCCCGAAACGTGGGTCCCAGGGAGAGGGTGCGGATGCTGGATGGAGGTCTCTGAGCAGGGGGAGCAGCGCTGGGTAACCCAGGGGTTACTGAGAGTCCCTCGCTGTAGGAGAGTGTGCCCATGAGACATGGGGGGCAGAGGGTGCGCAGAGTCTCTCAGTTTAGTCATTGGGTTTCCATCTGGGAAAGGGTCCTGAAGGTTAGAGCATGGCTAATAGCACTGCAGGATGTCCTGGAATAAAAAAGCCATATATACATCATGTAGCGTGCAAGGAATCCATTTTTTCATCCATTTCATGGCTCCATCCCCAACCCACACCTGCAGATAGCTAACTAAATACACTGTCCTAGCAGGTAATTTCATCCCATCAGGTTAAGTATGGAAGACTTCATTAGTTATCTCTTTCCTTCCCTATGCGGAGGTGTGAGAGACATGACCACAGTTACTTCTGATTGGGCAGGAATGTTTTTGGTAGACCAGCTTTAGAGACTTGCCCTCCTACAGCAGTGGGTTTGTGGGAGGTGACCGAGCAACTTAGCAAAAACCTTCCTTCTGTCACAGGCTAACACAGTATTGCACTAGTAATAATGATTCAGTCCCTTTTGGGATGACTCATTTTAGTTATTAATGTACCTGGGTACTCTGAAACACTGAAGCTGCTTTTGTCTGTCCAGCAATATCCTTTACATGCTACATCAAGTTACCATATTTTGATGGCCAAGGTGGTTGGTTGACAGGACAGTGCCAAATACAGTAGGTGATACAATAAGGGTGGGGGATGAGAACAACTGTGAAACCCAGGAATCACCACATCTTAAAGTGACTGACATAAGCAACAGTAGGACAATAGTATGTTAAGACTCACTTACAGTGCAAGGATAAAAAACCTGCTTCGATAACACAGAGCAGAAGACAACAAGATGCTAAGGGGGATGGATAACCTAGCAGGATGCGAGGTGGATGCTTACTTACAGGCTGACATGTCCTGGGAGGGATTTCAGTAGATTGGGTGGCTGAAATCTTGTATGCATTATGGAACAAGATGTGGGCATGCCGATTAAGTAATCATGAGACATTATACTTGATTCCCTCCATCTTTCCATTCTCCTGTTTCTCCACCTGTTCTGTGCAGCTTTCTCTCATTCTGTTGCTGCTCTTTGGTTGTGAATTCACGGTGGTCTGTTTCGTGAGCTGCTGAACAAAGCAGCAGCTGAGATAGAAGACACAAGAATCTGATCATTAATCCCTCCAGTTAAAAATATTTGTATTAGTGAAAAATAATCAGAATAGTTTTACAGTCATAAATATCATTATATATTTTCAAAAGGATTGAGGAAATGGAAAATAATTCCTTCCAATCAGGTTTTCTCTTTTGCCATGTAAAAAAGAAATAAAAAATCACAACTGTGTCAATTCCCCATCTAGGAACTAATTTTGAGGCATGGCTTTCTCAGGGTAGTAGACTTCAGTGGGAACCATATCTTGAAATGTCTGTAATCTGACTACATCTTGTCTTGAATATAAAAATCTGAAACCAATGTGTTTCCATAAAGTAGCAATGACAAGAAAAGAGAGGATTCATGAGGCTTTTTTTTTTACCAGGAGTACAGACATGACACAGCTCTGGCCATGATAAGTGGAAGCACAGTGAATTGAACCTGGAATTATCCTTTGTGCTTGGGAAAGACAACAGGGTGCCAGTGACGCAAGGACACTGGAAGAAGACAAAGGTGGAAATGGCATTTCCATCGTTTTTAGATAGAAGAGGTCTGTGCCAGTGAGGCAACTTCTTACATTTGCCAAGCATATTGGATTACTTTGTCCAGTGCAGAATTTCAGCTTTCTGCAAGCCTGTACAAATGGAAACTGAGTACTGAACCTGTTTCAACAGCCCTTTAACTTGCATCCTATGTTGATTTGTTCCTTGCTGCGTGTACCATTTCCATTGGTACATCAAATCTTATGTTTGCTACTTTTCTCTAACCAAGAAGTCTGTAGCTGAATGGGAGAGAATTCAGCATTATTTGCCCAACCTTGTTTGTCTGACTGCTCAGACTTTTAAATGAACAGGAGCTGCAATGTTTACATTTTCAGAAGTCCTCAGAATAAAATATTTTACATAGGTCATATGTGGCCAGGAGGGTTTGAAAGAAGTCTCCCAGGAACTTTCAAAATATGCTGCTTCTCCCCACCAGGAACATGTGTAGTCATGTGCAGGTAGGACTCTCGGACACGCTGACCTCTCATTATGCTAGCATTTACAGAATCAATGTTCTCTACAGTGCATTTATGTATCTTTGTGCATTCTTCGTTAAACAGTGTCTTGAGGTGAATGGGTTTGTATGTTCCTGCTGCTGCACTTGAGGTGATTCTGCACAGGCATAAAAGTAGCAGGCATTTCCATGCAAAAATAATCACTTATATAACTAACTGCACACCATATTTTCATGATTAATGAAGCCAGCATTCATATTTAATCCCACTGGACTCTGCTTCTTATGCAAAACTAAATCGGAAACTGGTCATTTCAATTCCCAGAAGCTATTAATTTCCACCGAAAGAAGAGGCACTGGAAAAGATTTTAAAATGCAGATACATACACGATGTGATCCATAATCCAACAAAGTCCATGTGATTTTTTTTTCCAGTGACTCTTGAGGGCGTTATACAAGGACAAAGTTATTCATATTTTCAGAAATTATATGTCTATTGATATACATATATAGACATTGATTAATGAATTTATTCACTAAGAAGCCTAAGCCTTCTCATTCATTTTAGCTAGATCTAAGATCTCCTTACAAAAAATGAGCCAGATCCATATCTGACAGAAGTCAGAAATGCTACACTGAAACCAGCTGTGAACATGACCCAGAATCTAAGTGACTATGATTTCCTTTGAAAACATTTATTGTTCACAGCTGTTCTTCAAGTGCTTTTCATTACTAATTTTTTGTTTGTGGGTTTTCTGAAACTTCCTAGGTCTGACTACCAGACTTCTGCCTTCACATTCTCAAGAGCATCTAGCTATAATATCCCAAGGGTTTCTCAAGATGCGTGGATATGTCAATTATAATAGCAATCCAAACAAAACCAAGAAATAAAAGGGTAAGTAATTCTCAGTCAGAAAGCACCAATATTTCAGCATCATGTGAAGCATCACAAACTCGATTTTGATGAGCAGAGACCAAAAGAGACACAAATGTAAGAACTTTCAAATGAGAATGTCCTGTATGAACAGCACAAATGCTTTCAGGGACATCAGATGTTATTTTCTCAGTCCACCATCAGAAGATATATCAAAGGAAGGGATAGATATGTCACCTCTCTTCTGAAGGGCCAAATTCATGTGTGATCCTGAGGTGTGGCTGGATTTCCCTTATCAACATCTTCCTTCCCATTTGATGCTTAGCAATGATTAGCAGCACAGTCATTCTTGAGAGAAGTAAAAAGAAATGCTAGCCCTTAGCTGCTGTTGCTCACTACAGTCCTGCTTTCCTGTAAAAAAACATCACAGTAAAGCATTTTGCAACAAGTGATTCCCTAGATTTTAACTTTAACTTTTTCGTGATTGTCAGATATGGAGAACATCTCTCTTATGCTCTTCTACATTCCTACATTAAAACACCTACCTGTAAAACACAACTGGAAGGATGGGTAAGGTTTTAACCAGATTTTAGACTTCAAGGTCTCTTATGCAAATATAAAAAGCAGACTCACCCTTCATTTTGAGCCCAACCATGTAAGTATCAAATATTTTAAAGCCAGTAGGTACAGTCTTTTGTAAAAGAGATGTAGATTGTATTAATTCTGAACAAGGTCAAACACCTGTACCTGCACAGACTCCTTCTCATGTCATTCTTAATGGTGATAGATACACAGACCAGATGATAGGTAAGAGATGGTGCTTTATAAAGCGATCCAAGGAAACCAAATCCCTTGGATGACTTTTTTTTTTTCCCAGGTAAATCTTCAATCCAGGTACTCACATAAGATCTACAAGCTTATTCCTTACACATAAACCAGACAAAACAGCTTGAAGAACTCTGGTACCTGGGTTAGGCTGTAGCAGGATTGGCAGAAGTAGCACTGAGCTCTAGAAGGGAGCTTCGAGTTGTGTGTAACTGCCAGCAAGTAGAACTGTCTGTGGTTGAGGAATGCATCTTTTCAAAATATTTGGATAATTCTACAGGATAATTTATTGCTTACTTTTCTGTATCTATATTTCAATCAGTGTTTGTGTTCTTCAAAAATGAAAAAGAAAATGCAGCACTGAAGTGCACTCTCTACTTTAAGCTGGCCTTGGTTTATATAGTCATTATGGTAAATCACAATCTGCACAGGAAATACCTTATGTAAATTGTAATTTACATGAGCCTTCACTAGTTTTCAAAGACAGCATTTTCTAGAAATACATTTTTCATGCACCAGACAGAATCGTCTGAAATAATTTTAATGATATGAAATGTATTTTACAATGCAAACTGCAAACTGGTGATCCACTTTGTAAATTCAGGTTGCAGCATATCCCAAGCCTTAACCTTCTGACAGGGGAATTTAGGGACTAATTAATCTCTTTTTTACCTATTTTATACCCTTAAGGTCTCATCTACAGCTTTCCAGGGAGCAGCATAATGATAAGGGAATGCTCAACAACAGATTCCTAAGTGTGAGAAGGCCCAAAATCCATGCAATCATGCGTGCTATGTCTTTACACTGTCTAAGATCCTCAGAGCCACCAAAACATTTAATTCTTAACATTGCAGCTCCCTTTCTTCAAAGACCAAG